AGCGTGTTAGAGAAATATTATTATTATTATTATTTTGAATTTAACGTTGATGTCTTAATGTTAATTTAACTTCACATATTTTTGTATAGCGCCGACCGTTTTCTCAAAAGAAAGTTTTCGCGATAATTCGTTGCCAGGCGACAATATGTCCTACGTTAAGGATCGTGCGACACCACCACATCCCTTTTGACGGTTCGAGGATAGAAGCACTTGCCTAACAGATCTTTTCGAGAAATGATCCGTAAGCCGATTAGATCACTAAGATTAGACTTTAGCATACCGTAGAAAATAAAATGTTTACAAAATTCTCAATTCTTGTTTTATCTACAGATAGCTATCAGGCAACTACCTACCTGTGCTTTTTTCTTATCTGTGAAAAATCTTTTTACATATCGATTACTGATGTGTAAAACCACATTAGCAAACGTGAAAAAAACGGTCACTGTAACATGCAATAATTCTCTCGCAGGCAGCGAGTCGATCGGAAGTCGCACGCCCAGCTTTGATCTGCGTAAAACTTTACGTAATGCTTTTCCTGCTTTGAAGGTTAAATAAATGAAGCACATTTTTCGAATAGTTTGCGTCTTTCGTAAAAATTCCTCTGACAATTTCAGTACTAACAATTCTTATTAATTTATTAATCCTTCTCAACAGCAATATTTATAAATTATAACAGTAAAAAAAAATTAACAATTACGTGCATTTATGTGTAGTCGACTTTTACGCAAGCTCTTGTGTAATTCCACAATTATTTGCACAATGCTCGCCATGTGGTCGCGCGATGTTTTCTTTTTCTCCTAAAATATTACGTTATACTTTTTTGGAATGAATCATCTCAACCAGCACACACCTGGCGAGTTTAGTTAGCCATCAATCTTAATCATCTGCAACGTGTTGAGAGAAATATGGCCCTCCCAATGCGAGAGACTCTTATATAAGAAGAATAATAATGAGGGTCGTATATATAGAATGTAATATCTATCCGGGCATAATTACGGTACGTAGGCATCATCAGCCATATCGTAATTATGATATCAGTATTACAAATAGCGCGAGTTTAAAAAGACGAACCCCGATTAAATTTAAAGACTTGGAGAATCTAGAATACTCTGTGCAATTAGCGGGCCGGCGAGGAATTTCAGGTGTATCTCGCGAAACTCGTTCGGAGATAGATTCGAAGTAATCGACGTATCTTCGACAATCGCGCCGGGTCAACAGGTTGTTCTTCATGCTGGCCGACTTCCGGCGACTCTCCTCGCGAGGAGAGGGAAGAACGATTCCGACGCCTCTCAATTGCGAACGATTTAAGACCGCCATTGGCCCCGACCTCAGAGGCAGCCCGCAAATGAAAACTTTCCCCATCTTCTTTCGCCAACTTCCGCGAAAGACTTCGCAGTGGAACTGCTTCTTCTCCTCCTCCTCCTCCTCCTTCTCCTCCTTCTTCTTCTTCTTCTTGCCCGCCCTTCGTTTCTGCTCGGTTTCTGCTTATTTCCGTATGCGAGTTGCGGTTCGCCGGGCAATCGTGTTTCCCGGAAACCTTCTCTCGCGAAACGTGCCGTGCAATAAATTTTACCGTGGGTTTGCATTTAAGCCGAGCGAGGTCCTGCCTTTTCTGCTACTTAACCGACATCTTATACTATGTATAATGCACATATACATATATGTATACCGGAAGTAAGATTAGAAAGTTGCTGTCGTTACACGTTAACAGGAGATCGTTAAAAAGTTAAGTCGAATAAGATACCATGCTAAATTGCTTGGATGATTAAATTGCTAAATTGAAAATTTTGTTCCCCTCAGTTAATTTTAGCATTGTAATTTTGTTTCAAATCGTCTTAATTATGTAGCTATCTATATTATAGATAGAGATGTAAATCGCAATTGGAAAGGAAATTCAAGTTGAATGGCAGTCTTATCTTGGGCGTATCTCATTAAAGAAATTTGCGAGATTCGAAAAGAATTTCAAGAACGCCGAGAATGAGGATCGATGTGCCTATATCCTTGTGCGGATGATCGAAAGAAACGAGGGGGAGGAAGAGAAGGAGATGGGTGCTCGACGTCTAATCTGTCGGCAGTGATCAGGACCTGGTATCGATGATGAAGTCTCCGAAGCCTTTGAAGTTTGCCGTGCCTCGCGACGGGGGGGAGCCAACCGTTCGAATCCCTCCGAGTGCCGATCCTGATCCTGATGCGGCGAACAGCCATTTCGTCTGTCGGTACCTATCAGTCCCGTCTGTCTTAATGCCTGTCAGAAATTAAAACCGAGGCTAGAAAAAACATTTCGATGGGAAAATATATTAATGACACGCTTTGACGTGCGAGCCGTTTGTGGGCGTCTAACTCTTTCGCAGATTCGTTTTCCCGAGAATTTCCGCATACTTTCGGAATCAATTAAAGTAGCATGAATTGCATCCACGTAAAAGTTATATGATAAAATAAAAATTTCAATGTATGTAGTATAATGTTGTGTACGAAATGAGATAAATAAGAAGAAAGTATGTAACTATGTATATAGATATCTTAACGAATTATTTCAAAAACGCATTCACAAATTTCTGTTATTTAATATAATGAATATTTGTATTCCTGCAATATCAAAAGTAACGAAAATATAAGAAAATTTATTTTTAAAAAATCAATGATGTTTTTGAATCGATTTCTCTGTGATTAATTATTTTGCGTGACTTATTTTACCTATATTTTTAAGCTTCTGTGACAATTCTTAGAAATCTGCGATCTTGATAGTTCTCGCAGTTTTCTGCAAGGGATTATATATCCTTCCTACGAAGTTATTGTAACAATATGCGGATAGACAACGCTGTTGACCATAAAAATGTTCGGCTTCGATGGTCAGGTTTATGACTAGAATACACCAAGAATATCTTTGTGAGAAAAAAAGATAATGGTCTCGCGGTAATGGACTGAGGCGTTAAGGAGATGTCACTCATTTTTCATCTCTGTCCAGCTTCTGTTCCATCTTTTCCCAAGTCATCTTTCTTTCGCATATTTTTCCGTTTAATTACTTCCGCCCTTTTCGCACAGTCTCACAATGTTAATCTATCACGTCACGCTAAAACTAGACATATATATCTAGAAATTTCAGATCTACATATAAAGTCCAGTCATAAATCTGTCATTTGGCGATGTTGATTTGCTTTTTTAAATATTAAACTAGTCCCATATTTCTTTTCCTTAATTGTTTATCAGTACATGATATTTTATTTTTTTCGCGTCAGGAAGTATGAGGGACTTATTAAGTCTATATTATTTTCTGAAGTTTTTTCGTTTATAAAGGCTAAGTCAACATAGACCGCGTTCAACAGAATGTTTTTGCAACTGTTTGAAATTTTATTCGCTGAGATAGGATTGAGATATAGAATCTCTAAAAATATAATCCAATCGGTGTGAAGAAAACTTTCAATATAGTTGCAAAATAAACATTCTGCTAAACGCAGTGATAGCCATGATTTGTCAATTTTGTTAGGAACAAGAATATTTGTATTCTGTTATAGCAGTTAAACAACAAGCAAATAGGTGAATAAAAGTGTTTTGTTTTACTCTTACGGTAAACATCTAATTTTTTTTAAATATTAGTACATTTTTGGGTTAAAATAATTATTTTGGATATATATAATTATCACATTTTTTACATGTAACTTTAAAAGCATTAACGGAGATTTTAAATAATATCGTACACGGAAACGCATAGTTCATTGAAACTTTATTTAAAATAGATAATACGGTATAAATATAGAAAACAAGTATTTTTAAGCATATATAGCTTACAATTGTGACCTCTTTATTCGATTTAAAGTGATTCAGCAGATTTTTAAAATCTGTTTGTTTAACGGGCTAGAAATCGAATCATGTTGGGCAATTGTATGTTTGTCATTCATGCTCGTCGGCTGTTAAAAGGAAAACTAGTTAACTGAATTAGTCAAACAATAAGACCATTTTGAATGAGATAATAAATGGATTTGTTTTTCTTTTAAATACTTCCCTTTCACACATATTTCATATCCTAAACCTGTACATAACGTTATTTGTTAATGATACCTGCAGTTTTCTCAATCTTTTTATTCATGTCTAACTTTGCCGTTTTCTTAACATTTTCAATAAATTATCCGTAATTAGTTTTTACCCAAAGCGTAAGGTATTTTTTATTTTAGCAAAAAAAGTTTTTTTTCTTTAAAGAGGCTCTGTTAAATCGATTTCAACATCGAAAGGCCTTTGTTCGCATTTCCCTCGCGCGCAATTCCTGCGAGCGAATTTTTGATCCGGCGACGATCCGGGTATTAGCGCTCTCGTTATCGCGCCGATTTTATTTCAAATACCTGTAGAGGTAGGGAGGCGTAGATGCGTTTAGATAAAAATAGCCTCGTAAAAGAGACCGCTCGACCTGGATCCCGGATGCAGAACAGTTCTCCCGAATGCTTTCTGCGAACCCCCAGCAAAGCTGCAAGCGCGGTACCACCGGCCGACAGATACCCGGTGTCGATATCGTATCCGAGCGGAAAACGAAATTTTCGAATGGAAAACGCGAACGGCCGCGATAACGAGTCCCCGTCGATTCCGATCGCGTGCGCGTACAATGAGCCAGCAACTCGCTCTCCTATCTCGCTCTTGGGAGAGGGAGGGCGGGAAAACGAAGAGAGAGAACGAGAGGAAGAGAGAGAGGCATAAACTCCTATCCCACCTACACCTCCGCGATCTCTCGTCGCATCCGTGCCGACCAATGGCCGAGCACCTGCGCTTACGCCGCGCAAGCTTCTCTCCCACGATCCCGCGTTTCCATGGCTCGCCGGGTTTCACCGCGCGAGCAGTTTCGTTTCTCTGGAATATGTCGGAATACGTTTTATTTATTTTCTTTTCTCTCTCTCTCTCTTTCTCTCTCTCCCTCTCTCTTTCTCTCTCTTTCGATAGAGCTCGATTTCATTTCACTCGTGAATCTTCGTTGGAGGCGAGGTTGCACAATCGGGATTAACTAGCTAAACGTTGAATTTGCGACAAAAGGAAAATTTAATTGGAACTTTATAGCGTAATTTTATCAAATTCTTTATAAAGGCTATTACAAATTCTACAGGCATTTGACATGGGAGATATGAAAGAAAGGTGGGCGAATATTTTCTCGCAAGTTTGCTAGTAATTCTATAAGTTAATGAAAATAAATGGAAAAATATCCATTCAAGGTAACTTGAGAGTGCCGATCGATGCAGCTTCGCGCGAATTGTATTATGCGAAACGGACGCGCGATACGTTTATTAAGGTAGACAATTGTCGTGGCGAGCCATTCTTGCATTCGTCCGATAAGTTTGAAAAGCAGGCAACACGGTCGCGTATCGACGAACAGGCTTTTATCGATAATAATCAGAATCTGCCTGGGCGTCACAGATCCACGAGCACTTTTCGCGAACCGACACTGAGGTTGAAGAATTCGTGTTAACTCGGAGAAAGCGTGAAAGCTGCGTCGAACACGATGGTCTCTACAAGAAAATTCAATTTAAAACTTAATCGTTTGCGAGAGTGCTTTAAAGGTCAACGATAAATGGAGATAATTAGTCTCGTCCAAAAAATTTGTTGTTTTTTAGTGACTAACTTTTTAGGTATAGGCTTAAGTGACTAGGTAACTTTGCGACTAAAAAGTGTAGTTTTCCCTTGGGACATATATTCCTGGAAGGACAATTGCCTATACCTTTCTCTCTCTCACAGATGTGGCTTCACGTTCAGCACTCAATTCTCCTTCCAATAATATATGTTCTAAGAGTCTTCCGGACTTCAAATTGTCACTTCTTGATCTCTGATAACAGAGCAGGTAACACAGAATGGTTGCCATGGAAGATAACAACACATGATCACTATAGCTGCTTATTTTCATTTTTTTTTACAGTCGAGATTGTATATTTTGTCACGATCTGCTCTGCTCATTTTTTACGCGTCCTCGCAATCGATATCGCATCGATATAATAGTCGTGCTGATATAAACGGCCTACGAAAAGAATCAGGAAATATGTTTAAAATAAAGAATTAAAGATATTCAGAATACTACAGATATTGATTTTGCAGTATGTACATAGTAATAAATATTTCGTATCTACGTTAAACCGGTGTTTTCCTTGTTAAAGCTTAATTTTACTGAAGAATCATGCTTCCATCATTGTGTCACAAGTGTTACATTTTTATGTTAATTTTTTTACGTAATATTTACGTTACTTTTTACATATTTATCTCGTGTTAAATCGACACAAAAGTTTCGGACCTTTTGAATCATATGAAATGTATTCAATTTAACTTAAATTTTTTTCTGTGATGTCAAAGATTTATTTTTTTCGAAACAATTCTCTTTTCACTTTTTTTTTCTTTAAAATATTTATTTGCCACACACTAATACGTTTCATAAAATATTTATTCAAAATTCGCCGCTTACGCTCCAAAGCTAAACGTCCACGTAACGTTCGAGAACATAAATCTTCATAAAATAAAAAAGAATCAATAGGGGCTAAAGGAGGTAAAGAGGTCTCGGTGTGACGACGTGCGCAGAGCATTCGGGCTCGACATGGGATCGGCGAAAAATCTCTCGAACGGAAGTTTACGCCGCGGCGTATCCGTCGCCGAAAATCGACGCGCGATGCAGTTCACGTACGCACTATTTCGCGAAACGGCGATACGGGGTACAAGTTACTGGCTACGTTATCGTAGCCCCCTCTCCCCTCCCATCCTCCCCTACCCCGTCCCGTTCGACGTTTTCGATTCTCGCACGGTCGTAACTTCGATAGCGCCGTACCAGCGTCGGGGCTGTAAAAATGATATACACGCACCGTGGGATTCGCCGTGGCGATTCCCGCGGTGGCGTGCTGCGGTCCGAACCGCAAAATTATACGCGGCTCCGAATCTCCGCACGTCACCCGGAGAGACATCGATTTCGCGCGATAGCGTAATTGAGTACATTTTTTACACGCCAGATATATTTGCCGCGCGAGGGAAATAAAAATATCTGGGCGGGATCATTGGATTAATTGCTCGCTGTGCATATGTTACGATTCCCGGTGTGGTTTGATAACGGACTGAATTTAGACACGATTGTACTGTCGCTTCATACTCTCAATCTTAATTATCTTGTTATATAAGTTAAATTAAAAATTCTGTTAGAGCGAAGCTTATTTTTAATTTCTAGAAATCATTGATATCGTAAATTTAAATGAAGCAAATACTCATAATATGTCGACAAAATACGATATCTGCGACATGTAATTACACTGGAACACTGTATTACTTTCATTGACTCCATTAAAATTTCCGAAGCGTGGTCGCTTCCAATTGGGTTCTATACAAGCAAAGTTGGCAAAACAAAACGTCGTTTTGTCGCTGTTGTTTTGTGCTGTAAATCATGTTTACTCTAGTAATACCCATTTGTGGAAATTCGAGTTGTCCCTAAAAACTCGACGGCTTTGTAGAATACCGTACCGAAGTAATACGATGGTTAGACTCGTGCCATGGCAAAATTGTAAAGGCATATGACATTGTGTCTCAACAATGTAACGCGAGCTTGCCGCGTGTCAAGACGATGTGCACGTGCGCGTTCGACTGACCGTGAATATGTATAGGTATATATCACTATACACTATTTAGTCTTTTTAAATGAAAGAGGAAAACATTAAAAAAATATATAAAAAAAAGAAAACTGAGAAAGTGTAGAGAAAGTGGTTGTCCTTGAGGTGCTAACCTGATGGAAATCGATTTCTGCTATTTTAACTAAAAAATTATGTGCAACATGTGTTCGACAATAATGTGCGACAACCCAGCTGTAATTGGCATTTTCTATTACTCCATGTGCGTCCCGCATGTCTAACAGAAGCAAGTCTGTCGCTTTGAAAAAATATATTTCTTTAATTTTTCCACTGTGCAGCCGCAGACGATTAACTCACGTGACGCGTTAGGAAAAATATAGACATCGTCTGACTTTCGTTAGTATTCTAGACTTCTCGTATAGTAGCAGACAAGGCTCTACTCATCCTACGCACCAATCGAAATCTAATTGCTGATCAATTTGCATCTCGCTCAAATCCACGTCGAGCTGCGAAGTTCGCGTCTTGCGACGCAAAGTGGACGTCTCGCACGAAACACCACCACCGTCACCGCTAATAACCGCCGTCGCTCGCACACGGCGCGCCGAGCTCCGAGAAATCGTAACTTGGCGTGTTTATCACCGGCGAGCCGTGCGCGACCGGCGGCGTTAGCGCGCGAGGAACGACTTCTTGCGTGGGGCGTTAAAATCGTATGGGATTTTTAAACCCTACGTTGCGCGCGCGGGGGACCGCAGGAGTGTGACCCCCTGTCCCGTGAGGGGGACCGTACCCGCCGTTCCTACACGGTCAACCTCCACCCACGTCAACGCGCGCGAGCTTCGCAGAAAATGATGCCGTCCGTCGAGCGTGAAACGCTTGCGCACGCTGCCCGGCTCGTGTAGCGACGGTAATTAAACAACTTACGCGGAACAATCCTTTCTGCATTTTTCTCTCGCGTCTCTTTTCCGTCTGCTCTTGGAAGACATGCCGCATTTCCGGAAAAGGTAACCGATTCTGTCAACTTTTTCTCAGCGCAACTTCTTAACAAGGAAAAAAGAAGATAATTGGAAAAAAATTTTTTACCTATGTAAGGTAGTTTGGATAAGACATAAATTTATTGCGTCCACGAAATATTATTATAGCGGTAGTTTTTTTAATAAGATATATGCACAAGATTATTCAGCTAACATTTTTTTTATCTTTTAGCCAACATCTCACAAATTTGCGGTCACAATGTGACATTTATCTACATCTCTACAAATGTAAAAATGCAGTCTTAGACGGGGCTAGTCTTAAGCGGCGTAAAGTATTTTTTTTATATAACCGATTTTATATAATTTTTAAGTATTATTATTAATAAAGAGACTATCAAGTGCACGTATGTCTATTATCAAGAGAACGATAAAGATTAACTTTAATCTCGGTATAATTTTCTCTTTATCTTTTTCTTAGAATTAGAAATATTTATAAGGGTTACGCAAAACTCATCTGTTTTAAGCTTTCTCATTGAATATGAGTGAAATTCGACTATGGATATAGCGAGATGTAACCAAAAGAAGAAAGACATTTAGCTGAATAACCCTGTATATAGAGGTCTACATAATCTGGAAATAAATTATAAAAAATGCTAAAATTTAAGACATTCAAAACGTTACAGATATAACACGTAACAAAAGATTTTACGTTGAAATTTAATTTCACGTTGAAGTTTATTAGAAACATAAAACGGGTAATTTCTCTTTGAGAAGGTCTTTGAGAGGTCTTTAAGACGCAGTTTAGGTTTGAAAAAGTTTGCCAAATTGCACAATTATACGGAGGGATCGTCCCTTACCTGCGGTATCTCCAATTTGAATTCGCGGGGTACGGTAAATTGTAAGGGCAGAGAGGTGACGATAAAAATCGCAAGAAGAATTCGATGAGATTTGGAGAAAGGGCCAAGGACAGAGGCGCAAGCGTGCTGAGAATTCTCTCTCGCTCTCTCTCTCTTTCTCCCTCGCTATTTTTTTTCTGCTTTCCCTTCCTTCTGCTCCCCGCCTTCTCCTTATCGTCGTTGGGCCAAGAGTTCGCGGTGGGGCCGTTCATCAGAGGCAACTTGTCACGCCGCTGGGCATCGGGCATAAATTCCACTCCGTAATGTGACAGGTCCTCGCTCCTACCCCCGAGAAAACCATCCTACGGCCTTGCGCTACCATCTACCGGGTGTTCTGGAATTTTTCTCATTTGCTTCAGCCTCGTCTAATTGCTCGGGGGCAAAAGTACCTTTGCAACGCCGTCAAGTATTTTATTCGAGATCAGTAATGAAGGAAAACGAAGAAGAAGGCATGCTCTTTTTATTTATTTATTTTTTTTTACTTTTTTCTAACACAAGAATTCTGTGCGAGCAATTCTTGAAATAAACTATTGTAGATTTTACTTTTTATTATTACTTTTCTTACTCTAATTTGCTTACTTGTTGTTACACACTTATCAGTGCTTATTATCATTATTAATTAGATTTATGCTTAAGACGTAATAACAGCGTTGAATGTAGCAACGAAAAATTTTTTAATTGGTCATTATGTAATTGATGAGATTGCGAGACAAGATATGTGATAATGTTATGAAACTGCGAGACAATTATCATAAGCATAGGTGTTATTATTATACACTTATTAATTCACTGTATTATAAAAATGTACAGCAGCATAATGCTGTCGGAAAAGCTATCGACCTCCATCAGGGAAGATAGATCGATGAGATCGGTCGACCAGTCACGGCGCTTCCACATTTCCGCCGGAAGTGGATAGCGATCGTTACGATGTTCATCGCGGTGCAACGCGGATACGTGTAAACAAGCCTCATCATAAACGACTCCATGACACGTGTCAATGCACGGAAGCGCGCACATCGTGAATTGATACGATAAAACTGATAACTGGTGGAATCTGATTTTTGTTGCTACACGCAGGAAGAAGCTGGGGTTCAGATTTATTATAGATTGAAATGCCACTTTTCTAAGTGTACTCGAGAGGCATCGCCGCGCGTCTTACAATAGGACGGGGTCAAAGTGAGGTGTAGAACAGTGTTGACTTAGATCATCCGAGAGTCAAATGCTGACTTTGAAACGCGACGGAAGAACAGATGCTTGCGAGCAGATATATCGAGATATATGTCATAGTACCATCTACGTGCGTACACAGTGTATATTTGTGTGTATGTGTATGTATCTATGTATGTGTGTGTGTGTACGGCAGACTCTCGATTTAACACGCAGATAGGCGCGAAGATGACAACGGTTCGCGCGCATTTACGGACGCGTCGCAGGAGATGTTGTGTGCGTGCAAAACACGAGTAAGGAATTTGTACATGCGTGCACACGGGGGAGGAGGGCGGTGTTGCGTTATAAGGTCAAGTTGGACGAGCACCGGTGGGGCACCGGTAGCGCCTGGTACCGGGCGGCAAAAGCGACTTAATGTCCCCATTTGTCCCGTGCGCTCTCCGGAGGCGATTCATCCTCGCCTCCCTTTTGTGCGCCCCCGCGTGTCCCCGGGTGTCCCTCCTGTCCCCTCTATACAAACGACATCACCGTATCACCTAAATCCCCCCCCTTCTCCTCCTCCCACTCTGAAACAGTAACTCGGAAGATAATTAACTGACTCGGACTCGCCGCTCGTTCTCTTTTTGTGGTCGCGCCGAATGAATTCATTCCGGGTCGACCAGAGCGACGTTCCGGCTTGTTTTCGTCGCGTTTTTTCGGCTAGCAAGCTGATC